CCAACGGCCAGTGGGTACCACCTTGTGCAGGCTATGCTGAGGCCCGGGCTCCCGTCTCCCTGCCACATGAGCTCGACTACCTCGTGGCCAAGGCAACGGGGCCAGTGGCAGTCGGATCGTCAGCTTCTTCCAGCCTGACGACAGCCTATCTGAGCCAGCCGGGTCGACCGGTGGTCAGCCCGTATGGAGGGGGCCAGTCTCGGCTGATGCAGACTCTGGTGCTGCCTCAATATCCTCGCAGTCAGACCAGTGTCTACAACTTTTCCCCTTCTACGGGTCTTTCAGAGTCCAACCTCTCGGCGATGATTGGCTCGGGTGGTGTTCGTCTGCTGCCGAGTACCACGACGATGGGTCAAGTCGTGATGGCGCCCTTTGTCGCCTCCGTAGGCAAAAGTAGCCTGGCCCAGCATCAAATGATCACCGCCGACCCAGTGATGACCAAAGCAACGCCGACGATGCTTAGGGCGGTGGGTGAAGAGAGGACTGAGGCGGAGGCAGAGGAAGATGAACTGGCCGCGATCAGCTTGAATGCCATCCCGGCCCTACTCACTACGGGGCTGGATTCGAGTCTGGGCTGTTCAGATCAGGCTTCGCCTGGTGGATCTCTCTACGCTGATCCAATGGACCTGGAGTTGGCGCCCTGTGGGCAGGTTAAAAAGACGAAGCCTGGGATTGGCAAAGAAAAAAAGTACAAACTTTCGCCACCAGGTAACCGAATGATCGGTAGGCATCACTCTTTCACAGATTTTTTAAGGTCATACCGATGGAAACTCTTAAAGAAGGCTGCAAGGCATTAAAGATTTGTAGGTTGAACCTCATTTTCACATGGTCGGGAAAAATGGAGACTTAACGGAACGTATCAAGAGAGTTCAGGATAATCTCCAGCATTCGAGTGTTGAGCTGGCACACTAACAGACGATTAGCCGGCATCGTAGTCTACATCGTCACTTTGAAAAGTTGCACCTCGGGGCTAAGGGAGGCGCCTCTTACTAACGATTCCAGTTAAGATACCGACGAGTCGTCTGTGAGTGTGCCAACGGATTCTGGAAATTATCATGAATACTCTGAATGCAACAAAAAAGATCTCCATTTTCCCCTGACCATGTCGCGAAGACGAGATGCAGCCAACAGTCCAAAATTTAAGGAGACTGAAATTAAATCCAAGGCTAAGCCAGCTTGATTTTCCTATTTACGAGTAAATGTAATGTCTTCTTGCGCCCACATTGGTCTTGGAGTTGAAAATAATATTAGCACATATGAAAAATGTTGAGCAGAATTTCTAATGAGGGTGACGCACTTACTCATGAGCAGTACATATTTGACTTGTAGTGCAAAAGTATGTAGTAATAGAAACACGAGGTCTAGCTATGGGATCGTCTTGGTCTTCAATTTCAATGAACTATGACATAGATCCAGCATAAGTTCATCAAATTCAGCAAACACCTCTAGCTCCCAAATTAGTGCCTGTGTAGATGAGCGACAACTTTGGTCTTGGCGACATGGCAAAGAAAGATGATCCGAATTTGGTTTCGCAACATGATCGTGTCGTCAGGGCTACTTTGACCAACCTATCTTTAATATGAGATGTATTCACCCAATTAATGTGATGAAGGTGACAACTGGTAGTCTCAAAATAATACTTAAATGCGAAAAATTAACCTTTATTTTCCGGAGTCATCTTGAATACAAGCCAAGAAGCCATGATCAGCGTCATACTATGGACGTATGGCACTCCCAGAAGTTTCGCTGGGGTCGTCAGTGAGCCTTGCAATTGTGGCCCCAAAGTGCAAATGATCAAAGAGACAAGTCTAGCCCAGCTCTGGAATTTATCATGACTACTATTTCAGAGGACTGCAGAAAAGCTGCGTTCATCGGCCAAGTTGTGAAAACGCGGTCAATCTACGTCAAGAGAACGGAAAATGTCTGCGGCCAAACCAAAGGGCACATCAACTGGGCCTTCATATCTACGATTGAACTTATTTTTAGTTTTGATGCTGGTCTACCTTTCGTTTCGTGGAAAGTGGCTTCAGATAACAAGCAAAGTGAATCCAATTGTGGCTCAACAGTTGTATCCTTCCTTAAATCCCCTGCAATGTTGACGTATGCAATTTGGCTTTCATTGCACGTGTGCTGTTTGCATATCACAAGAGGTTGGAGAACTCATCAAACTAGAGGCTATTAGAGCCTCCTCTTTTTTGCTCGACGGTACTTCTGGTTCCATTTTACCATAATCCTATTCAGCCGTCAAGCTGACGGTCTGATACTGGAAAGTCTCAGGAATACTCTGTCCGAGGACGCAGGACTGGGTAAATTCTACTAGGTCTCAATGTCACTCCGATCAGTTTGCGAAAGCTAGATACAACTATCATTTCGCATACTGAATATAAGAGATTCTAGATACGAAGAATAACCGGGTTTCGCTCAGTCTTCTGGGATAAAACTTTTGGGGAGATTTTCATTTCGAGTGAATTTACATGAAGATATTCGAAGGTCGATCTCACTAAAAGAGAACGGCTGATTCCCATTGTACAGCTTTAATACGACGTTCAGGTTGGTTGAGTCCACGAGACATTCTCCCTCGTTTTGGTTGTTAACTCCAAACTTTTACAAGAATGAGTTCCATCCCTGATTATGTTCACGATATGATGGACGAAAACTCAGCCTATTTTC